AATCAATAAATAATTAACCTCTACCTATAACCAGAATAATTTTACTGAAATCCTATTTGTTTTAAATTTTAGTATCAATACTAAAAAATAATTAAGACGATGTTATATTCTCATAATATAATTACGAAAAAATAATAAAGTAAAAAATTAAATTTAATGGATCAAATCTATATATTTATTAAAGATTTTATATCTTTTCTTGCCATTCTTTACTGTTTTGTAAAGGGAGATATTATTATTGCAAGGTTTGGTATTTAGTTTAGAAATTATAAGTAGTTGCATAGAACCTATGAAAGTCAGAAAGAAAATATTTCGGTATAGACACTCTCTCTAGGTTAATTAGGTTTTATGTCTGAATAGCGTTATTATTGAAGTGATGAGCTAGTGAAAACTAACTGTTTATGCAATTATCAATTAATACGAAGATAATTATTACTAATTGATGTTCTATAATGATTTAATCACAATATACATAATATACACATGTTAAATCTATAATTGTTATTCTATGTTGTTTGTAAAATATTTTATAGGTTAATATTTCTTATACAATAACATATAGTTAAAACGACACTCATACGGCAAATACATAAATCACTCAAAAGATAAGATATACGGACATTGAAATAACATGAAATTTAAGTTTAAGCAATATAATCTAAAATTTAAATGATAATTTGATGCTTGATCAAAAGATAGTTCTAAACAACTATCTCTCATTTTTATTTTTATGTACTCAAACATTAAATATTTGTGATGATATATAGATTGTTAGAAGATGAGAGACCAAATAATCACGTCAGTGCTCACAACGAATGTATTTTTTGTGATTTAACATTTAGTATTACTATAACTAAAATTTAAGATTGTGTGATACATGACAAAATATCTTACCGAATAAAAATGACATTATTGAAAAATTCTAAAAAATCATTTTATAATTGTTTTTTTAATTGTAAGTAACCACGTTAACAAAAAAATTGATAATAATTTTTATGATAATGTTTTCGATTGATAAATGTTAGTTTCAAGCAGAATGAACTTTATATAACTTTTTCAGAAAATGTTAAGTGTAGAAAATTATACAGTTTCATTCACGTGTAATTTAGAAATCTTATCAATTCAAAGTGATTGAATTGTTGTTTATTATTCTTGGTTTGTTAATATATACATATTTTTGTGTTTGATGTAGATGTTATTCCCTGTCATTATTTTTTTAAAATTAAATCATCCTATATGTCTTCGTGTATTGTTGTAATCCATAAAATTAAATATTTTTTCTTTAATTTTAACGTATTTGTTATTTTTCAAAATTTTGTATCACTTTTGAACTAATATAAGTTAGGAAAGACGAGACGATTAAATAATCAGAGTATATATAATTTATTATTGTTAGTTTTAAAAATTTTCTTCACCAGGTAATTTATTTTGAAAAAATATCGTTCAAATATGTAAAGAAAATTACTTTTGTTCTTAGAAAATATTGTGAAAATCAGAATAATATCAGTAATAATTGTAAAAATTATATTGGTATTTTTTAAATACGAAAACTCAAACTCAACAACAACAATAATGAAATTAATTACTTTATTAATGACAATATGTATGTGCAAAAATTTTATATACCAAATTTTAGATAATATATTATTATTGTTTAAGGAAATTAATTTTTTCGCTTATGATAAATTATTGTTACATGAAATAATTTTTTCATAATAAATGCATTATGAATTTAACTTAAATATAAACAAATTAAATATTTATAAGATAAAAGATCTATAAATATATTATTTAAACAACTTAAATAAAAATTAGCGTCAATCGCAAAGAGTTTTTATCATAAAATCAACAAATACAATATAAAATAAATAAAATTAAATAAGATAAAAATTATAAAATGAAAACTCATTATAAAATCATTTTTTGTAAGAATTTGTTTAACAACTGTTTATGATTTTTTGCAGGCCAATTACCAATTCTTTTATGTAATTATACTTGTGAAAATTAGATAAAATTATATAAGACAAAAATTATAAAATAAAAACTCATTATAAAATTATTTTTCGTAAGAATTTGTTTAACAACGAGTATTTCTGATTTTTTTTCACATTAATTACAAATTCCTTCGTATGTCATTATGCTTGTAAAAATTAGATAAAATCAAATAAGATAAAAATTATAAAATGAAAACTCATTATAAAATCACTTTTTTATTGTTTAACAACTAGGGTTTTTTTCAGTTGGGGCTACAATAGGATGACAGAAAAAATGTTTGAGTAATAGAGATCAAAGAGAAAGGATTGAGATAAATGAGGTAGGTGAGCAAGGGTTTGAGGTTTATTTTAGTTGAGAATGAAAATTATTCAAATATCCTTAACCTTAAAACTTAGAATCCATAATATATGAGGGTATTTTTGTCTACTAAAACCTAGTACACATCACTAAAATGTACCAACTAAAAATCAGACGTACACAAGTTAACAAACCCATATATATATATATATATATATATATATATATATATTATAAAACATATAATAAACTTTATTCTCAAAGTCATTAAATATTTTCAATAGTCTTTATCAACATCTTATAGTTTAAAATTTTAAGATCTCCCCAGTAGTATCTTAATTATACACATGTTCGATTAGAATATAATTATTAAATGTTAACAATAAAATTGATTACTTTTAAAGTGATCAAAGAAAAAAAATCATAAAAAAATATATGAAGAAACTAAACAACCAAACAATTTTACAACTCCAACCCATGTTTTTAATTTTATTTATGCTTCGACATTTAATAAATCATTTCAGATTCAAAAATGTTTTACAGTTCAATTTTTTTAATCATTTGTTCCAAATTGTTCAAAAGATATTTACGTAATATATTTTAATATTAAATTTAACTATTTAATAGTTCAAATATTAAAGATTCAATAATTTTTATCTCAAATTTATATTTTTAAATACTAATTATATTTTATATTTGAAGTTATTCAATATTAAAATTAATTATTTTAATAATTAACTAATCTTTAGATTTTTAAAATAACAATTTACTTATATGTCTCACTAATAGTCGTCCGACGGTTTTCATAATTCCAATGTGTTGTTTACATTTTATGACATCACAGACACATAATATATATAAATACAGCTAACCAAACCCATTTCTTTTGGAAGAGCAGCTAACTTTCTATCATTCTATTATTTCCTAAACCAAAGTACAGACATTAAAACTAATTACTTCAATCATAATAATAATTTATCTGTACATTTCATTAACAATGAGACAATCATATTATACATAACCTATCATTTTTCTAATGTCACCAGAGACATCACAGACACATAATATATATAAAGACAACCAAACCCATTTTTTTAGAAGAGCAGCTAACTTTCTTGCATTCTATTATTTCCTAAACCAAAGTACAGACATTAAATAAGAAGGTTAAAAGAGTGGGGTTACATAATTCAATCCCTTTACTATGTAACTGGGCAGTCAGTGACTGGTTATTAAGAATGCTTCAATGGAATTAGGTAAAGGTACTTTAACATCTTTCCATTATGGTGATTGTTTTTTATGATTAGTTTATTACTAATTAAGATTTGCATGAGTGTGAGAACGAAGAGCATCTAACCCTAGCTTGTTCCCAACCGTCGCTTCACATCTGAAGCCATAAGCACATGAAGGAGTCGAGTTCCAGCCAATAAATACACCACAAAAACAGATAGATAAAATATTCTGCATCCTCATATGACAGCTCATTCTGTAAAGATACTTTAATGTCCAAAACTAATACAATTTGTATTTATATGTATACGTATATGTATGTATTGTGAAACGAAAGGATGCAGCAGGACTGGGATGACTTGTCAAACCTTGGTGGAGGCTTTGCCATTCTGTCTCAAATCAGATATCAGATATCAGATATCAGATATCAGATAGAGAGAGATATGTTTGAACATGTTCTTTTCACGTGTAGCCCACTGTGTTTCTTTTAATTCCCGCGCGCGCCACTTTCTTCATTTCTCTCTTTTACCACCTTCAAATAAAATCATATATTATTATTTCAATGTTATATTCAACTCAGTTAGTATCTTTTATATATAGGCATTATATAAATAAATATGTTTTAAGTCTTCAAGCCTATTTTTATTACGAAGAGTCTGATATTCAATTTACAAAAATTCTACGATAAATATTTAGTAAAATTCCAATGTCGTGGTAATTTGTAAGGAATTTGGTTAAATAAGTTTAAGTCTTCCATTTTTCTTTTTACAGAAAATTTATATATTGAGAGTTTTGGGTACAGGTGATAAGAATGTTTTTTAATATAATATTTTTAAATATATTTTTTTTAATAATTCATATTTAATGTTGGGTACGGTTTAATTTACATAAATTTTGAGTTTATACCGGTTTGATCCCTTATAATTAAATCAAGTTACTTGTTATTCATATTAACTAATTTATATATGGTCATTAATAAATACATTTTAAATGAGCTCCATAAGACTTTTGTGTCATTTATTTTAAGACTCTGTATACTGTTAATATATTTATAAAAAAATAGTGAAATATAATTTATCATGAAAAAATTATTAAAAAAGATTGTTAACTTATCACCGTGCTTTGTTTTTGTAAGAGACTAATCGGGTTTTTAGAAGAGGTGTCAGGGATGGAGGGGGGCATTAGAAGTAAAAAAGTACCGTTAGTTGTGATGGGATTGTACAGTGTACCTTAACCAGGGTTTAAACATTCTATAAATAAATTGGTAACCAGTAATAGTAACACAGAACATAACATAACACGATGTTTAGGAGGAAGGGATGAAAGAGGGATCCATTAATTTGTAGGGTACATTTGTCACGTGTCGAGTAATTGTGGTGCATGGCCCATCTTTCATCCGCCTCTGGAGCTACCGCCAGAACCTCACAACAAATAAAATAATACTTCGTTTCGTTTGGGGAATAAATAACAATAACACGCTCTTTTTTTATCGTCACTGCTCACTGCCAGTGGTCACGCACACACACTCCTTCTCAATTCTCTCTTCTCTTCTCTTCTCTTAAAACACAATGGAGGACCTTCTTCTTTCTCTCTCTCTTCTCTCCATCGCATAGGACTTCCCTCATCCAACATGGCTAATCACCACCACCATCATCATGCGCACGACACCAACCTCAAATCCCTTCTCGACACCCTATACTGCTCCGAAGAGCATTGGGAGGAAAACGTCGGGGAAGATGAATTAGACCAGGCAGAGGATGATTACCCTACAGCTAACGATATTACTAATAATAACGCTACCAGTAGCACCACCCTAATTAACTCCCTTCACTCCCCTCATGCGTTGTTCGAAAGCGACATGTTTTGTGACGAACAGGAGTTGACATCGCTGCTGGGGAAAGAAAAACACAACCCTCTAACCACTTTCCTCCGAAGCAACCCTGCGCTCGAGTGTGCTCACAGGGAAGGCGTGGAATGGATGCTCAGAGTGAACGCTCACTACTCCTTCTCTGCTCTCACAGCTCTTCTTGCCGTCAACTACTTTGACCGCTTCCTCTCCACCTTCCGCTTTCAGGATGGCAAGCCGTGGATGACACATCTCGCTGCCGTCGCTTGCCTCTCCCTCGCTGCCAAAGTGGAGGAGACACAAGTTCCCCTTCTCCTAGACCTTCAGGTATCTTCCTTTCTCCACTCTCTCACATTACCAACAAACAAAACTCTTTACGTCTTAACTCAAAAAAATTACGAGAGGAGAACTTTTTACTTCTTCTCTAACATTTTCTATAATAAATGTGGGATTTCAGCTTTACAAGAGTTGTCTCCGTTTACTTCTTATGTTTTCTAACTATTTATACATGTCTTGATTCTGATTGTTCTCTGAATTGTGCAGGTGGAAGAGGGTAGATACTTGTTCGAAGCCAAAACGATTAAAAGGATGGAAATTTTGGTCCTTTCCACTCTTGGATGGAAGATGAACCCGCCTACCCCTCTCTCCTTTCTTGATTACATCACAAGAAGACTTGGATTGAAGGATAATCACTGCTGGGACTTCCTTAGGAAGTGCGAAGGCGTTCTTGTCTCTGTCCTCGGAGGTAATTTGGTTACACCTTCGTGGTTAGAAGAAACACCGAATCAGCAAACAAGCTGAAAGACAATTTTCGCTTCTGATAGTTCATTACAATTCGATGATTTCTCGTATCGTGAGTTCTCCCTCTTGATTATGTTTATATTTAAGTCTTATTTTCCAACATTGCAGATTGGAGATTAATGGGCTATCTACCGTCTGAACTGGCAAGTGCGACGATGATACACGTAGTGAAAAGCGTGGAGCCTTGTCTAGAAGGCGAATACCAGAGACAACTCTTGGGTATTCTAAGATTCGACAAGGTTGGTGGAGGTTTATTTTTAATTTGGTTTTTATGTTTGATTTGGAGGTTGGTAGGAATAAGAAATAAAAATGTGGAATGTATGCGTACAGGAGAAGGTGAATGAGTGTGGGAAAGTGTTGGAATTGTGGTCAGGATACGAGAAGCAGGGGAGACAATGCATGAAAAGGAAATTTGGAAGCGTTCCGGGAAGTCCAAACGGCGTGATGGAGATGTCGTTTAGCTGTGATAGCTCGAACGAGGAGGTGTGGAGAGTAGTTGCCGGTGGTTCGGTGTGTTGTTCGCCGAAGAAGAGTAGAAGTGAAGTAAAGCGATAAAGGAAAATGTTGTGGGCAGCCATTAATTTCAACTACCCTCTCACTCCTAATGGAAACATATATAGTCTTTCCCTGCTTTAATAACTGCGTATCTTTCTCTTTCTCTTTTTGACCACCAAGTTAAATTGCCAACCATCTCTGCCTCGCACTACTTCCATTCACCCCTCATTTACTGATCGGATTATAGATTTAGACCTTCCACGCAACCTCACATCCCTCTTCCTGTCTAGGACTGCAACCAGATATTGTTGGCATTTTATGAAGAACTATTTTATATAATTCATTACTATTAATAATATACTAATACTATATATTTATATCAACAAAAACACCACCTTAATGTATTTTTTCTATTCTCTTTTCCTTTCAAGCGATGAGATATTACAATCATTAATTTCATGTTCAATCCACCAATAATAAAAAAGCATTTGTGGAAAGATTTGGGTGAATGAAATTTTGTTTTGCTTGTGAAGAGAGAAACACAGTGTCGGCCAGCGGCAGATATGAGGGAGCGAGTGATTATTATTTATTTGTTGGGGGTGTTGTGTTGACCTCTTTGGGTTGAGCTCGGCTTCCGTTTGTATAGCAATTATGGTAAAAAGTAATCATACAATGAGCCATCCAGCTGTAAACCATCCTTTTATGTTTCTATCGCTTTCTTTTTAAGTTTTTTAATGCTTCTTCATTTATTCTCATTTTTCAAAATTTTCTCCTTTCCTTCTGTCTTTTTGTCATCGCAAAAAGCCAAAGCGGACCCTTGTCTTCCCCATCTTGCTGCTTCTTCTTCTGCTCCCCGATTCAAACCATAATAATGTCATTATTAAAAGAAAAACCATTTCTTCTATAGACGTGGATCTTCTTTATTTGTGTTCTAAACTAAAATCGAATCATCTTAACATTTTAAATAGGTTTTCGGTTACGTTAAACATCACGACATCGATTTCGAAGATACTATAGTCTGTCGGATATCCTTCCGAGATAGAGACGTTTGTGACATCCGCGGCAAGTGTTGCACTTAGCATGTATTATTTGTTTGTCTATTTTTCCTTTAACTGAAAAAAAAGGTCAATTACCATTGTGCATTTATTTTTTTAACGAGCAAAATAAAGCAGAGGAAAATAAAAGCGCGTGCCAATAATCTTTTACTTTCCCTACGTTAAAAGAAAGCGCTTGTTGGTAGGTATGGCAGTGGATTTTCGATTTTTGAAGCTCTCGAGTGCAAAATTCGTCTCCGATATCCATCCTTTCTCGGAAGCACCGCAAATCGAATAATAAAACAAGACCAAGTCAAAATGAGTGCAAAACAAACAGTTGTTTTCTCAGATCTCAACCAAGAATAAAAGTGTGATATTTTTACTGCATTAACTCCTCGTAATAACAACTTCTACAGAGCTTTTGCAGCATTCCTTTACAATTCAGTGGTAAAAGATAATGTTTCCTAATTGCAGCAGAACAGCATCTTGAATTAAAAAAAATTATAAACTGGCCGTCTATGAAACCTTGTTGGTTCACTTGGATCAGTCACAAAAAAAAAAGAGAGACAATAAGAAAAGATTTGAGTTTAAGAATTGGTTTGCTCGGCAGAACAATTTTCTTTTGTAGTGGATCTTGGTTCTGTCTTGTTCATAGCACGCAAAAGACAGCCATGAAAGCCCCTGCATATGCTTTCCCTACCTTATTAAAGGGGACCATTGCTTGACTTTATTCCCTTTCTCTATATACGTGCTGCTTTGAGTTTTTTTTTCAAGGGAGATTGAGTGTTGTTGTTGAAATGACATTGAGAAGAAACAAAAACTTTTCAATTCCACCAAATACTTCCACATTTCATATATTATGTTACCACTAACAAGACAACATCTTATTATTTTAATAATGAACTCATAATGTGTAGATACTGCATCATGATATGTGTTTCCAAAAACTAAAATGTTTTTTTTCCCTTTCAAGCACATTCTTCCACCCCAATCTGACTGAAAATTTTGTAGTATAGGTGATGAATATTTTTTTTATCTAACTCAATTCAATTCAATTAAAATTGACGTAAAGTAGAAGAATTTATAAATCTTCCATCGTATAAAAAAAATTGTATAAAATAATTTTTAATGATATAAAGCGTATATGAATTAAAAAGAAAAAGGAAGAAAAAGACAACCACGGAATAGTATAGACTATTGGCGAAAAGAGAAACATGTTGCTTCTTTCTCGGTATAATTTATTTAAGTACACTTTTTTTTACTCAATTGTTTTAGTATATTTCAATGTTTGAAATGGGCAAAGAGATGATAGGAGCAGTGTGGCACCCTTTGACCTGTTCAGTTATTTACTCCTATTGTGAATGGAGTGCTATTACAAGCCTTTTCTTTTTAGTGCTCAGAATAGTTTCAATAATTTATCAGTTTATGCCGATGGTTAATTCTTGGTAGATAACTGTAAATTTTTTTTTTTCACAAAGTATAATTATTTTTCTCAAACAAAGAACGTAAAAATAAAATTACAGTGGAAACTAAATTCTATATAAAATTTACTGTGGTCATAGGTCTAACACTGAAATTTAAAATAATTAAACATTGTTATTAATATTTTTGTTTTGTGTGTTTGAATTTGCTGTGGAAAGAGAAGGAGGGGTCCAGAGAATATGGAGCCCACCACACTTTTAATATGATTGTGCAGTCAAAAGTGTGGGTTTTGTGATTTCACCGCGTGAATGCATTAAAAGAGAGAATGTAAATTCGAATTGCACGCTATATGATTGAAGTGGGGAAATAATTGATCCTATCCGAGGAACTGTGGAAGATTGTGTGTGAAATATGATTATTATAAATGAGAATTGAAAGGGAGAGAGACAATTGGAATTGTGAAGTTAGGAGGAGATACACATTCCGTGCGTGAGTGTTATAATGGTGAAGGACCCCTCTAAGGGTCTTCACATGGGGCACGGGATGACATTGGAATGGGCTTCTGGGCTTGGGCCGCATGCTGCTGTCTGTTGGAAGCTGTCACTGTCCGAAGCAGGCTAATGCCAAACACTGCTGCTACTCAGTACACTTGTTCATTAACTGCATCTGCCATCTTCTCCTATTGTCTTTGCCTCCAAAGGGATCCACCTCTTCTACCATCATTTACCAAACTTTCATTCAATTTCATTTACCACATGCATTCCACTCACCTATTACTATACTCACACTCAATAATCTGTTCACTCTCCTTAGGAAATCTAATCCTTAAAACCTAATTAATAGGGCCTCAGAAAATCTTGTAATTTTTTCTTGAAATTGAGTTGAATTGAAGAAAGATGGATGGAGGAGTGAAGAGAGAGTGCTAGTTAAAGAGTTAACATCAAGGGCAGAGTTGGGTCAGTGGCATTGTCTATTTCCTAAACAAAGTTTTTGTCTTGTTGAAAAGGAAAGTGACATTAATAAACGTCACAGGTCACAGACCTAGCCATGGATTTGGCCACCGCCACCATAATCATCAACAACTAACTATACTCTATACATCTTTCAAAGATAAAAGATCAAGAATATGTGAACCAACATTCATTGCTCTTTGCCTCCATCTCACCTTTCCTTTTCAAAATCTCCATTTCGACACAATGCCAAATCACCCATTCAATACATGTTTTAAACACATTTCATTTATAAAAATCTATGATTGCTATATTTTATTTTATTTTATTTGTTGAAATTTCGTTTTCATCTTTGATTTCTTAAGGATTTATTTGTTACTCTTTGTTTAATTTGGATCGATGTTGTCTTTTGAAGCAGTGACCTCTTTTAAAGTGTAAAAGACTAAAATAAATCTTTTAAAGTTACAAGTTGAAAATTAATAAGTATATAAAATAAATATTTTAGTCCATTTTTTAAGAAAGGGACTACCGAGTAACAGAGATGAAACTGAGCCTTTTTGTGTTAATGTTAGCAATTCCTTGTGCAATTGGGTTGGACCGAGAACTCAAGCCCAATCAACATGGCCTGCTTTGGAGTGGAGTTGGGGAAAACAATTTCAGGCCTAGCGGTCATGTATTCTTTTAATGATTAACAGTGTTTTGGTCCACATTATTATAAAATGTTTTCATATAATTCAAATTGGTAAGATCTAAATGAGTTTAAATATTTAAATTATACGATAATTAAATTAATAATATATATTTTTAAATTATAAAATATAATCTATATATATATATATAATAAGAACTATTTATGTTAAACTCTAATAAACCAATTCAATTTGAGTTAAATTTTTTTAGAAAATACTATTTGTTTCCTTAGACTAACTTCTCTTAGAAACTAACAAATTAGTTTGAAAATTGACATATCAAATTAGTTTGAAAATATTTATTGACATAATATTCACCAGAACATTTCATAAACTTCAATTATTCTTTAAAAGAAATACTTTTTATAAAATCAACAAGCGTTAAATATGTTTCGAACATATTCTTAATATTTAATTAAATTTATAGATAACAATCGGGTATGACGAACCCACTAAATTTACCGGACTTATTTGCTATTTTTTGTTTTATTGGATTTATCAAATTGGTGGATTAGAGGTGGAGTGGAACAGTCTAATCCGTTAAGTTTTTTTAAAATAAAAAGTAATCTAAAAATTTGATATTTATATATCATATTATTTGAAGATTGTAAATATATAATAATATTATAATTTAAATTATTAATCTTTACAGATTACATTTTAATTATTAATTATAAATGTATATTTAATATGTAAAAGTAATAATTATTTTAATATAGATATTAATTAATTAAAACTTAAAATATATTTATGATGTACTTTTAATACATACACACACACACACACACACACATATATATATATATATATAAAGTAATAATTTTTATAAAGAAAAATTGTGTGGAGAATAAGGAAGATTTTTATTGCTATGTTTTTTCTGTTGAAAATTATTATATATATAAATAAAAAAGATAAAAAAATTAAAATAAAACATACTAGCGGGTCACATCACCTATCCTTCTTTAGGCAGAATGGGCCAGAATTTCTAAACTTTTTTTTCCTCAGAAACCTGACCTTGGATGTTTTTGGCGAATCAATAACAGACTAAGATTGTCCCCTTAGTTGAATTATGTTTAATCATGCAACATTTTTCAACAAGTTTGTAAAACATTTTTATGTAATAATTTATATGAACAGATACTATTATTATATTGGATATAATTATAGATTTGAAATAGAATTAAGACAGAGCAAAATATTGATAGAAATAAAACAATAGGTGATTTTTTAATAAGGAACATTTAAGACATTTTGAATGTTGCTTTATTT